CTGGTCCCGAGGCTCCATGCATCCTCAGCATAGACCACCTCAGGAGAGGGTACTTCAAAGACCCAAAAAGATACCGATGGGCTTTTGGTATTGCTGCTTTGGAGACTGAGGAAACTGAGCAACTGTCCACCTTCCCTGGTCTCTCAGAAGATCCTTCTGCTGTGGAGCTGCTGAAAGTTGAAGAACAAGAAGTGCCAATAGTGACCACAACAGTGCACTGGCAGCAATATCACACCAACCAAGACTCCCTGATTCCCATCCATCAGCTGATCCATAGACTGGAGAGCAAGGAGTGATCAGCAGGACTCGCTCAGTCTTTAATAGCCCCATTTGGCCAGTGTGAAAGTCTAATGGAGAATGGAGACTAACAGTAGACTATCGTGGCCTGAATGAAGTCACACCACCATTGAGTGCTGCCATACCGGACATGCTAGAACTTCAGTATGAACTGGAGTCAAAGGCAGCCAAGTGGTATGCCACGATTGATATTGCCAATGCATTTTTCTCCATTCCTTTGGCAGCAGAGTGCAGGCCACAGTTTGCTTTTACTTGGAGGGGTGTCCAGTTCACTTGGAACCGACTGCCCCAGGGGTGGAAACACAGCCCTACCATTTGCCATGGACTGATCCAGACTGCACTGGAACAGGGGCAAGCTCCAGGACACCTGCAATACATTCATGACATTATTGTGTGGGGCGATACAGTGGAATCTTTGAGAAAGAGAAGAAAATAATCCAAATCCTGCTGAAAGCTGCCAGTTTTGCCATAAAACGGAGTAAGGTCAAGGGACCTGCACAGAAGATTCAATTTGTGGGAATAAATTGGCAAGATGGACGTAGACAGATCCCTACAGATGTGATCAACAAGATAACAGCAATGTCTCCACCAACTGATAAGAAAGAAACACAAGCTTTCTTGGGTGCTGTGGGGTTCTGGAGAATGCACAACCCAAATTACAGTTCGATTGTAAGCCCTCTCTGTCATGTGACCCTGAAGAAGAATGATTTTAAATGGGGCCCTGAACAACAACAAGCCTTTGAGCAAATTAAACGCGAGATAGTTCATGCAGTAGCCCTTGGACCAGTCCGGACCGGGCCAGATGTAAAAAATGTACTGTATACCACAGCTGGGGAGAATGGTCCTACCTGGAGCCTCTGGCAGAAAGCTCCAGGGGAGACTCGAGGTCGATCCCTCGGCTTTTGGAGTCGGGGACACAAAGGATCTGAGGTCAGCTACACCCCAACTGAGAAAGAGATACTGGGAGCCTAGGAAGGGGCTTGAGCTGCTTCAGAAGTGATTGGCACTGAAGCACAGCTCCTCCTGGCACCCCAGTTGCCCATGCTGGGCTGGATGTTCACAGGCAGGGTCTCCTCTACACATCATGCAACTGATGCTACATGGAGTAAATGGGCTGCACTAATTACACAACAAGCTCGAATAGGAAATCTCAGTCGTCCAGGCATTCTAGAAGTCATCATGGACTGGCCAGAGGGCAAAGATTTTGGAATGTCACCAGAGGAGGAGGTGATGCGTGCTGAAGAGGCCCCACCATATAATGAACTGTCAGAAAGTGAAAAGCAGTATGCCTTGCTTACTGATGGGTCCTGCCATACTGTGGGAAAGCATTGGAGATGGAAGGGAGCTGCATGGAGTCCTCAATGACAAGTTGCAGAAACTGCTGAAGGAGAGGGTGAATCGAGTCAATTTGCTGAGGTGAAAGCCATTCAGCTGGCCCTGGACATTGCTGAATGAGAAAAGTGGAGAGTACTTTATCTCTATACTGACTCATGGATGGTGGCAAATGCCCTGTGGGGGTGGTTGCAGCAATGGAAGCAGAACAACTGGCAAAGCAGAGGTAAACCCATCTGGGCTGCTGCACTGTGGCAAGATATTGCTGCCTGGGTGCAGAACCTGGTGGTGAAGGTATGCCATGTAGATGCCCATGTACCCAAGAGTCAGGCCCCTGAGGAATACCAGAACAACCAACAAGTGGACAAAGCAGCTAAGATTGAAGTGGCTCAGATCAACTTAGATTGGCAACATAAAGGTGAATTATTTTTGGCTCGGTGCACCCATGACACTTCAGGCCATCAGGGCAGAGATGCAACATACAGATGCCCCGTGATTGAGGAGGGGACTTAACAATGGACACTATTGCCCAGGTTATTCATGAGTGTGAAAAATGTGCTGCAATTAAACAAGCCAAGCGGTTAAAGCCTCTTTGGTATGGAGGACGATGGCTGAATTACAAATATGGGGAGGCTTGGCAGATTGATTATATCACACTGCCACCAACCCGCCAAGGCAAGCGCCATGTGCTTACCATGGTGGAAGCAACCACCGGGTGGCTGGAAACATACGCTGTGCCCCATGCCACTGTCCAGAACACTATCCTGGGCCTTGAGAAACAGATTTTGTGGTGACATGGCACCCCAGAGAGAATTGAGTCAGACAACGGGACTCATTTCTGGAATAACCTTATAGATATTTGGGCCAAAGAGCATGGCATTGAGTGGGTATATCACATCCCCTACCATGCACCAGCCTCTGGGAAAAATCGAACGGTACAATGGGCTGTTAAAAACTACACTGAGAGCAATGGGTGGGGGAACTTTCAAGCACTGGGATACACACTTACCAAAGGTCAACACCAGAGGATCTGCCAACAGAGCTGGCCCAGCCCAGTCAGAACTTCTACATGCTGTAGATGGGAAGAAGTTCCTGTGGTGCACATGAAGAATTTGCTGGGGAAGACAGTCTGGGTAATTCCTGCTTCAGGTAAAGGCACACCCACTCGTGGGATTGCTTTTGCTCAGGGACCTGGATATACTTGGTGGGTAATGCAGGAAGATGGAAAAGGCCGATGTATACCTCAAGGGGATTTGATTTTAGGGGAAAACAGCCAATGAACTTAATTGTATGCTGTTGCCTGCTGTGTAATCCTTTTAGAGCCCATCAACTACATGTCTTCAGGTCACCAGCGACTAGCCCTGACTTCCCTCTGACCATCATCCCAACAGAGAATGAACTTTGATAGAACCAGATGAGTTCTGCAGTAAAGGAACGATCAGCATCAGCAGGCAACGATCCAACACTGCACACAGCCTCTCCTGCTCCGAAAGACAACAACAAGAGATGGAACCTGAAATCATGGACCAAAGGGACTCAGCAGCATTATAGGGATTGGTCCATGCACTAAGAAATGATCTCTTTCTCTCTGTCTGTGTGTGTATGTGGATATATATATATATGTAAGAGCGATGGTATATTGAAAATGTGGGATCTGAGCATGATGTGTACAGTATGGTGGATACTGTCCTGGGTTTAGCAGTAGCAGTCAATCTTTCTCCTTCTTAGTAGCTGGTGCAGCGCTGTGTTTTGACTTTCAGCCTGGGAACAGAGCTGATAACACTGATGTTTACTTTGACCTAGGACTTTGTGAGTCTCATGCTCTGCCAGGGAGGAAGGGAGGCCAGGAGGAAGCGGGGACAGGACACCTGACCCAAACTAGCCAAACAGGTATTCCATACCACAGCACGTCATGCCTGGGGAGGTAACTGGGAGTTACCCAGAAGGGCATGCTCTTCTTGATCAGGCTCGTTTCGGCAGGTGGTATCGTATTCTCTTCCCTTGTTATTTCCCTTATCATTATTATTATTGGTGGTAGCAGTAGTGGTTTGTGTTATACCTTAATTACTGGACTGTTCTTATCTCAACCCGTGGGAGTTACATTCTTTCCATTCTCCTCCCCATCCCTCCGGGAGCAGGGGGGAGGGAAGAAAGGGGGGGGGGGGGGGGTGGAGTAGACTGTGTGGCTGACTTGCCGACAGGGTTTAAACTACAACAACAGGTTAACTTTATTTCCCTTCACACTTCCCTTCAGAAAATACTCTGAGAGAAACAGACTGCTTGTTCCATAATATTTAACTGAATCTTTGCAAAAGCTTTATGAATGTCAGTACAAGAGAAGAGAAGGAAACACACAGTAAAAGAAACTATTATGAGATTATACCACACTGACTTACTGGTGAGTAACAGTTCTATTTAGGAAAAAGGGGCAGAAGTACTGAGGAGAAACATGAAGAGAGGGAAAAGGGGAATCAAAATGAGAAAAAAACTGGTGTGGGAGATAGATGAATGGAACTTGTCACCAGCATGGGAGAGGAGCAAGGACAACTCAGCAGCAATACAGACTGTCTTTTGTGGCTGTGGTCTGCCCATGTTTTCCACCTCACTTACCTTCCAGTGATGACAGTTGCAGAATAGTGCTAAGACAACAGCTACACCAAAATACCCCATTACTTTTTCTTGAGAAATGCAGCTCTGTGAGATCTCCCCCTAGCAGATGATGACAGCATACCACTTTTTGAATGAAGCATTGCTGACCTGTAGCCTAAGTATTCCTTATTCTTACCTCGCTTTTCCCTTCTGTTTTCACTATTGGACATGCTCACAGTTTCATAGTATGAATCCTATTTGTAAAGTGATTTTTCTGGGGTCCCATTCTTGACTGCTCAGAGCATACAGTCTTCCAATGAGAATTTTTCTGACCAACAGTGTACTAACATCTGACAACTAATTTGTATGTGTGTATCAATACTGTAATCAATGTTAAACCACAGCCCATAGTTTTACTTATTGTCAATCCAGCCAGTAGTCTGGAATGCTATCTTCCATCACAGAATGTCATCTGCCTCTCATCTATTTCTCACCAGAAATGACTAGTAACTAAATGTTTAATGCTTTCTACCAAGATGTGTTATTTAATGCTGATCACCCTCAGGCTTTCCTCAGGCTGCTCCTCACCTTCTCTACCTCCTTCCCACCACCTCCTTTGATGGAAATTATAGCTTCCTCAGATATGTTGGCACAATTGTACCTTCAGTCACTTCCCAAACTGGCTGTTCCAGAAATAGTTGGGTTAGCTTGGACATTTTATAAAAAGAGATTTTATACTCTGAACTATTTTGACAGAATAACACTGGAGAACATTTACCTGTTCAGTCATGAAAGCTGACTGAATTCAGACAGGGCTGAATCTTCTTAACCTGCCCTGAATTCAGTAAGATCATCATGTCTAGCTGCAGTTTCACTACCACCAGTAACCTCCTACATGAAGTCATCCTAGCCATCTGTAAGACAAGATGAAAAAAGAAAAGACTATTCTAGCAGGTATTTTTGTATGACAGAAAACGTGCATTTAACTTCTGCTTCCCTGTTAAAGGCCTGGGTTGCCAATGAAACCAGTATAGCTCCCACTCCCACTTCTAGGAGAACTGACAAAACATTCTTTGTATAGTGAGCCTAACTGCAGCATCTGATTTGCATATCCATACTCAGTATAAGGATTCTCAATAACAGATGTATTTTAGCAGCTGCACGATTTCACCTTTAATTTAAGATGAAGACTAACTGTTGGTGTATTGGGTGTACATAGCAAGGAATTGGAAATGGGGTGGGGCTGCAGGGGTAATCTCTATGAGAAAAAAACAGGGGCCGCCCCATGCCTGACACATCTGGTTCTAGATGGCTCTACAACAGACTCACTGCAGGACACAACTGAGCCCAATAACCGAGCTGGTGGGACCTCTTGTGAAAACATGTAAAAGAAAGGGCAAAAATACCAGAGAAGCACAGGAATTGGGGAGAAGGGGATAAAACAGTAGGTGGAAGTGTGATAAAACAGCAGTATGAACACCAGTGTCAGAGGAAGGAGGAGGAGGAGGTGCTCCAGGTTCTAAGAGTAGATATTGCCCTGCAGCCCATGGAAATCACCATGCCAGAGAAGCTAGATACTTCCCTGGAGCAAGCTGCAGCATGTGGAAAGTCCACACTGGAGCAGGCTCCTGGCAGGAATTATGGCTTGTAAAGGACACAGCAGAGCAGAGGAAAAGCATGAGGAAGAAGGAGTGGCATAGAGGAACTGTGATGGACTGACTGCAATCCCCCATTCCCCATCCCTTGCACTGGGAATTGAGTGGGGGAAGAACTGTTCTTTTAATTTTTGTCTTTGTTTCTCACTATCCGCATCTATTTTAAGTGGCAATAAATCAAATCACTCTTGCCCAAGTTGAATCTGCTTTGCCTTTGACAGCAACTGGTAAGTGATCTCCCCGTCTTTATCTTGACCAATGAATATTTTCCCTCCTGTTTTCTCCCCCTTTACTGCTAAGGAGGAGTACAGAGAGCATCTGGGTGGGCAGCTGGCTTAGGTCAACCTACCACTGAATGAAGACTGGCTTATAAGCCATGATGACAATGAAAATGATATCAGAATTACCCAGCAATGTGCACTTGCAGCCCAGAAACTCAACCATATCCTGAGCTGCATCAAAATAAGTGTGGGCAGCCATCAAGGGAGGTGATTCACCCCCTCTGCTCCACTCTTATGAGACCCTACCTAGAGTACTGCATTCAGTTTTGGGGACCTCAACATAAGAAGGATGTGGACATGTACGAACGGGTTCAAAGGAGGGCCATAAAGACGATCAGAGGGCTGAAGCACTTCCCATATGAAGTCAGACTGAGACAGCTGGGCTTGTTCAGCCTAGAGAAGGCTCCAGCGACAGAAGGCTCCAGGGAGACCTTAGAGCAGCCTTACAGGAAATCTGCAGAGGGGCTTCTTGCAAGGGCATGTAGTCATATGACAAGGGGGAATGGCTTTAAGATGACAGAGGGGAGATTTAGATTAGATATTAGGAACAAATTCTTTACTGTGAGGTTGCTGAGGCGCTGGCACAGGTTGCTCAGAGAAGCTGTGGCTGCCCTATCCCTGGCAGTGTTCAAGGCCAGGCTGGATGGAGTTTTGAGCAACTTGGTCTAGTGGAAGGTGTCCCTGCCCGTGGCATGGGGTTTGGAACTGGATGAGCCTTAAGGTCCCTTCCAACCTAAACCATTCCAAGATTCTATGAAGAATTCGTAATTCATACCAACAAAACATTTGCCACAGAGCTTAAGCTTGACCGTATGCATTCAAAGCTATTAAGAAGCCTAAACAATATTTTTCATTGCAGTGCTGCAGATCTACTGTTTCATACAGCAGAATTCAAAGCTTGCTCTTTAGTGGGAATATTTGTTTAGATTGCCTCATGAACCCCATATCATTAGAAAGCAATTTTGAAAATTCTCATTTGAAGGAAATCTATTCCTGGAAACATCTTAAGATTCACTTGTCTTCTGGTCAAAGAAGCAAAAAGCTTAAGTCACCAACATGACTAAGACCCACCCTGAGGCACAGAACCTTTTTCAACAAAGAATTGATAGTTAGAAAAATTATATTCAAAGTCTCTGCTGCAATGGCAAATGCAAGGAAAACAGAACAAATGAGGATTGGCTGATACTAATAGATATCTATTCAGTTATGCTTCTTTAAAATCACTGTAATCCAATGGATCAGCAATGCCTCCTGGCACATATTGGTACAACAGGGATTGGGAGGAAGAGCAAGAAGAAATGCAGAGAGATGGCCAAACATTACCATATGACTTGATGACAATCCTGTCCTTCCTGCACTGAATAAGATTACAAGAGGATAATTTCTATGTCAGCTAGCAGAAATCTAACTGTACAAATTGTATTAGCCAGTTCCGCTAGTACAGAGCTCATTAGAGTTTTTGACATACACAATGGAAGACACTGAAGCTCTTTTATTCTACAGGAAGCAGTTCTGCCAGCAGTACTGTATATGGGAAACCGTTTCCTCAGTATTCCAAAGCTTGCCAGCCTCAAATTTACCTATTACTTATTCCATCTGAATTTCAAGAGGAAAGTGATACACAAAAAAACACACCCAACAAACTACCAAAGCCCAAACCCAAATCTAAAAAATGCTCAGAAAAAAACCCCTTGCTTACTACCTCCTCCCATGTTCTTTTTTAAGGATGAAGCATGCTTAACAGTTTTACTATTGCTTCCTTGAAATCTAAAAAAAAAAAAAAAGAACAAGAAATAAGAAACATTTAGATCTTACAAGTGATCTCCTTCTCTGGAGCAGAAAATAATTTTTCATGGTATTCTCCTAGCCTGTAAGGTTTACCTTCTACAGATGTTAAAATGTAGGGAAAAGAAGGGCTCCCTTTCTTCCTTTCTCACACACTCATCTGTTCCTTTCCTCTGCTCCCTGAAGGGTGTGAATAAGAAAAGAGTTCAGTAATAGGAAAGAGCAGAATTTATCAGTGACATCTAAGGAGAATGAAGAGTTTCAACCAGAAGGTTGCAGTTGTTGAGCACATATCGCTAGTAGGTCTTATATGCCAGTACTCATGAAGCAACTACAACACAAAGCATGGCACTCTGCTGCCTTTGCAGTGGCAGTCCTAGCAGTGGCTCATGTCACAAAAATGTCTCTGCTGGTCTGTAAAATAATACCCCAATCTGACTATACTTTTATGAGTTTCTATGGGCATTACATCTCAAAATATACTAAATGCTTTCTGCTTACTGCAAGACGTACATGTTTAGCCTAGGATCTGAAAGTCACGGCAAGTTAGTTGTAATAATAAGGTGCTTTAAGTAGGGGCTAGCTGTCACCAGTAAACCTGACTGCACTCAGGAGCAACCCTGGTGAGCCTCACAAATATTCAGCTAATCATCAGGGGAGAGGACACTGAACACACATCAGAAAATCACTAGTGAACAGCCATTCAAATTTCATACTTCTACATACTCCCTAAATATTGTTGAGACTCAGCTACCCTATCATTTAATGGTCTCTGCACCTGAAGAATTTCCTGTGCTGTAAGGAATGGTATCTACACAAACACATGATAGTGTCAATCAGTATCTAACATATGCCATACCACAACATTCCAGCATTGTAAGAATTACTTCATTTGGCCGTATCAACTAACAGTTTCTAAAGCTGTTAAACTTCAATTAGCAAAAAACCTGTAGTTGTTCTATTTCAGGTGACATGGTTTAAGAGGTCAAGTAGAAAGACTTCCTTTCTTTTTTTTTTTATTTTAGTTTAAATGTAAAAAAAGAAACAGTTTATATATATATATATATATATATATAAAGTAACTATTGGAATAATGACATTTTTTACGGACTAGTAACATTTTTTATGGTGGCAGACAAACACATACAAGATTAATTTCCTATGGTATTTAGTAATAGATGGAAAGTGAATTAATCTGTTTTAGCTGGTCTTCCATTTCACCATATATTTAGCAGTTCTACTCATTTGTAAGCTGATGAAATATTATCCAAACAGTGAAGGCTGCTTTGGTGGATGTTTTGGCTAAATAGCTAAGGGTACTGTAGCACAGTATCATATCATATATCCTGTTTACTACAGGCCAAAGACAAAATTACTTGTCCCAGTATTTCAGTTATCTGGAATTCCCATCCTCAGGAATTTTCCCATGGCTGTTTCTAATACAGAGAGATTCAAAAGATAGTCTTTAGAAAGTTGGCCATACATTACTCTGCACTTCCCTACCCCCATGTTTAAGACTTGGGCACAAGAGGTTAAAGTATCTCCACATTATCACTGCAAAGATGAAACTTGAAGGGAAGTGCAAGGATCAAACCCTCACATTAACGTAATGAATTTGAAAAAATACAAGTTATTCACTAACTTGCTGAGTATTTAGTTGGCTGTCTGTATAGTAGTTACCCAATTCTAGTTACCTAATCCTAAAATAGAAAGTCTTACATACAAAGAAACAAGTCTTAGCTGTGAATATTCCTTATAACATTGATTTTGAAAACTAACAATGGTGTATTTTGAATTATAATTTCTAAAAGTAGGGCTGAACAAGACATCAGAATTCATCAATATAAAGAAATGGCAAGAAAATCAGAAATAGGGATGCAAAGACAGCATGCATACCATTGCCCACAAAGTAACTATGAATGTGACATCTATTCAATTTATACCCCAGTTACTCCACAAATGACATAATGAATTACTTTGTTCTATTTTGAAAGCATTAGACTAAAAGATCTATCATAAACCAAGTCCCTTTATTAACTAACTAGCTATATGGCTTGGCACTTTCAATGGAAATCACGATACATCTAAGCTTCCAAATCATGGATTTGGCATACAAGACAGAGCAGGAATACTGTAGAAATTAGGATTATTTTTAGTTTTGTTATACCCTCATACTACTATAAAACTCTGTTA